TCAAAATAAAAACAACAACCCAGGGGTAGGCAACCTAAGGCCCATGGGCCGGATGCAGCCCAATCACCTTCTCAATCCAGCCCACGGATGGTCTGGGAATCAGCGTGTTTTTACCTGAGTAGAATGTGTCCTTTTATTTAAAATGCATCTCTGGGTTATTTGTGGAGCATAGGAATTTTTTCATTCCTCCCCCCCCCCAAAAAAAAATATAGTCCAGCCCACCACATGGTCTGAAGGATGGTGGACCGGCCCACGGCTGAAAAAGGTTGCTGACCCCTGCAATATTTTGTAGTGGGTTAGGCTGGATGGCCCACAAAGACCACTACAACTCATTCATCTATTACCTGGAACCAGAATAAAGCCTTGTGCAGGTGTTCTGCATGCTTAAGACCTGTTAGTGAGCAGAAAGAGCAGAAAGACTAGCAGAGGAAGCGCCATTCCCTTCCGGTTGACCTCTAATGCTTGTGGTGCATTAGTCTGAAGCCTGCACACATGGAGACTTCCTGCACAATTTAGAACCTGAATTAAGCAGAGTTCTAAGTCACATAGGGAACCTCTGTATATACAGGGGGCTCCCAGCCCTTGAGCAAGTTGGTGAGCAATGGGAAGGGAGGCGGGAGGGCAAAGCTTAGCACAACAGTCCTAGCATGCCATGCTCCTATCTAGGTTTTACATGTTGCAGAACACCTGCATAGGGCTTAAGTTAGTCTTGCTGGGCAGAACAAATCCTAAACGGAATGCAGATGGGAGTTAACCTTTCCAAAACCTTATTGTTTCACTTTGGAAGGATTTTAACTTTTAAGCTCTCACATTTGTTTGCTTTTTCTTTTTGAATCTCTTAAACTGGTTTCAAAGGGATGGGAAATGTATTGTATGTTTATTCATTTATGTATTTAAGAAAATGTATATACCACTCACAAGACCTCTAAGTCGTTTAGCATAAAATACATATGGCACCTCAAGGTTAGTATAAGTACCGGGGAGGGACAGACTTTGGTAATATAGTGCCCTGAGCAAATACAAAAATTATCAGCCCCCCCCAAAAGACTATCTTATTTCCACAACAATTCCTTTTAGTGGTTGCTTTATAATGGATCTTCTCAATAGGTAGTTGTATAAATATAGATATTTTTATTTTATTTTATTGAATTTATATACCGCCCTATACCTGGAGGTCTCGGGGCGGTTCACAGAAAAGATCGCAACATATGAAAATAAAAACAATAACCCAATAATACACACACACACACACACACACTATTATTATATTGTGGAGGAACCACCTGCGCTATCCTAAATCCAGCCCTGTACAGGGACCATTTCAGGGCATGCTAGGGTAGTGAATGGACTTAGATTTGGCAGATCCAAGGTTGCCCCCGGCCCACACTTGAGATGTCCTGAATATTCCCTACTGCCAGTGAGAATTCCACCAGATATACACCTGCAGAGTTTTCTGTGGACATACTGTGTGCCTCTGGGTAAATTGCTACACTGCCAGCAGAGCCCCTCTCCAATAACACAGGGCTCTTCTAACCATCCTAACTCCCTTAGTTAGCCTGTGGTGGGGGTTATGATTGCTTCATTATCCCAGATCTATAGGAACATGGGGAACTGCCTTACACCAAGTTCGACCACTCAGCGGCATAGCATGGGTTGTCAGCACCCGGGGCAAGGCAAGTAATTTGCGCCCCCTAACCCCTAACCTGCCGCCACTGCCAGCTTCTTCTTGCTGCTGCCTGGGCTGGTCTGGTGTGGTTCTCTCCCGCGCTCAGCGCTGCGCTGGGCGGCCGCTGCACTGTCCCTCCCCCAGATAGTCCCTCGCTCTCTCTCCGCACCGCACGCCTGGCACCCACCCCCTCCACAGTGGGCGGCGACCCAGCGACTCGGATCGGATTCGCACAGCCAGCACTGCAGTGAGAGAGAGTGAGTGAGCCACGTAGGGGCAGAGAGCTGCGAGTGCGCGCCCCCCCAGATGTTGCGCCCGGTGCGGCCGGGCCCCCCTGCACCCCCCACGCTACGCCACTGCGACCACTAGCCTATCTAGTTCGGTATTGTCTGCATGACTTTTATGGCTTTCTGATATTTGAGGCAGGGTTCTCTCTCAGTCGTACCTGAAGGTGTAGAAGATGGAACCTGGGACCTTCTGGCTAGAAAGCAAGTGCACTACCACCGAGCTACAGCCCTTCCCTAAACTTAACTAAGCTAAGCCCCATTGATTTGAAGGGGACTAAAGGATGGCTTTTCCCAGTACGTATTGATGTATGGAAGTGAGAGCTGGACCATAAAGAAGGCTGATCGCCAAAGAATTGATGCTTTTGAATTATGGTGCTGGAGGAGACTCTTGAGAGTCCCATGGACTGGAAGAAGATCAAACCTCTCCATTCTTAAGGAAATCAGCCCTGAGTGCTCACTGGAAGGACAGATCCTGAAGCTGAGGCTCCAGTACTTTGGCCACCTCATGAGAAGAGAAGACTCCCTGGAAAAGACCCTGATGTTGGGAAAGATGGAGGGCACAAGGAGAAGGGGACGACAGAGGACGAGATGGTTGGATAGTGTTCTCGAAGCTACCAGCATGACTTTGACCAAACTGTGGGAGGCGGTGGAAGACAGAAGTGCCTGGCGTGCTCTGGTCCATGGGGTCACGAAGAGTCGGACACGACTAAACGACTAAACAACAACAACAAAGGATGGCTAGCTCAGTCTGGCTCTAACCTTAGAATTGAGTGTGACGTTAACATATGAGATAGTGCTGGAGGTGAAATAGTTAAGCAGGTTGCCCAGTCAGGACCCAGGGGGGTGGAGTCAGTGGGACTATAAAACCAGCTCTAGGAGGGGGAAAGGTGGTGGTTCGTTGAAGAGCTGGGTGGTTGGTTGGAGTGGGAGTGAATTGGGATAGAGTTTGTGGGTAGGTTGAGTTAGTGTAGCGAAATAGGCTGGGTCAGGAACAGTTAGAGGCTAGGCAGACAAGTAAATATCTGAAGGGTGGTTTAGTGAGTGAGAGCAGGTAGCAAAAGTTATAGGTCTGGATAGGCACCCCATGAATGTAATTGACTGATACTGTTTATGAAACCACACACTTGTTAAGCTGCAATAAATAAACAAAAGTTTATGTTTCAGTTTAACCCTGATTGTCCCAGGTAGGGCCTGGGTGGTGGCAGCGAGAAATAAAGTGGTGGCACAGGGTTCAATAGATGATGAAACGTCCAGGGACCCTGTGTGATTGCCACATTGAGTACTCTGATTTTTATTTCACAGGCTACAAAAGTGCAAGTATTGTACTAGAATGATACATTTCACAATAATATTTGACCATATGCACCCCTCATACGATGATTTTAAATCCTGGCATTTTGTGTGGTATATGTTTGTATCTACTTCCTATTTTAAAAATTCTAGGACCTCTGAGTACCTTACAGTAGTCACATGTAGTAGCATCCACAATAGGTTTTATCATACAAAGGCAAGTGCTTTTCAGACAAGGGAAGAACCAACAATTGATGCTTATTTACAATGGCTCCTATGAATCAAAGCACACTCTGGGCACATGTAACGGCAAACAGAAAGGAAGTGAAAGCTTTTAAGAAATCTTCTTTATAGTGCCACATTGATGACATGCATTTAAATTTTCTTCATGCCATCAAATGTGAATTCCAATTTAAATGTCAGACTGGAAACTCAAACTCTCGTCCTTTCGTAAAATCATTTGTTACCCTCCAATACCTTGTAATGAAGGAACAAAGATATAAAAGAAAAACTAAGCAAATGAAAATATGATTTTAGGACCTAAAATCCTAGAAAAATCCCCTGCCCTTCTTTTTATACTTTCCCTTCAGAAAAAAGAGGATTTTAAAAATAAAATAAAAATAACAAAGCCAAAATACCAGTTTTAGAAAGGTAGTGGAAAAACAAAGACTTTATTCCCCCCCCCCAGGTTAAAATGCCAGCTGTAATCATACAAAATATCCTTTCTTGCTCATCGCTTGACTCCCATCAGCAGATGATTTACCTCTTTATTTATTACTACTGCTATTGTGATGAACTTGAATATGTGCTGCTGGTGGAAAGTCCTTAATATTAAATATGCAGCTTTTGCTCATCCTTTCATGCAAACTTAATGAAAAACACTCCAATTCCATGCCACCTTACAAAAACTTGTTTCAGCTAAAGTCATTTTTACAAAATGACTTCAATATTTCCTGATTTATTGTTCTTGGGGAAAATCTGACTTAGTGTGAAACAAAGCAGGAATACAAACATCATATATACATGGGGGGAGATACTTTGATCAAAGGGATCATTAGTAATATGGTTTGTACAGTGATTGATTGCTCAGCACTAGTGATCACCCAATGTCCAAATCCAGGCCAGGCAGGTTCATCATGGGTTTTTAATAACACTTCCATATAAATCCTTAAAATTACACACAAGCACTGACAAAATATCTGAATTGTGAGCACTTACAATATGGTCTGAGGGCTACACCCCTTCTCTTGCCATCATGCACATTGAAACCAATATAGCATGTCTGTCTAGGAGTGATGGGTCTTGACTGGTTTCTGATTGGTTTAGAATGCTTTCAAGGGGTTGCAACTATTTTTGCTATAATTGTCTGATTGGTTAAGCAGTAATCGCCTGTGTAGTTGGACGTGTATTGAAGATGATACTTTCATCAAGGTCAATGTGATATTTTAAGAGGCTCACTCTATGTACGTTTATATTAACCAAGGCCTAACTTTTAACTTAAAACTCATGTCTATTGGTGTTCCTTTGGGGAACCCCAGTTAGGGTGAACACTTTACAATTTTTTTCCAACAGATGTACCATCCCTCTCAGGGGTAATTTTACATATGAGACATTCGATTTCCCCAGAGACTATAAAAGGGAATTGGACATAAAGTCAGTAAATGTACATAAAACACATAGATGAGTCAGACCCAATGGTCCATCTAGCTGGCAGCACCTCTCCAGGGTTTCAGGCAGGGGTCTCAACCAACCCTACCTGAAGATACCATGGATTTTTTTGAACCTGGGACCTTGTGCATGCAAAAGCAGATGCTCAGCCACTGAGCTACAGTCCTTTCCCCTGAGAGTCAATAGCACATCAGCAAGGCCCATTGCTCCTGGAATGGGATGTTACATTAAATTCAATGCACATGGCAGCAGGAGCTAGCTGCTTGCAAGGGGCTTAAATTTATACTGAAAAACAACAAGGCAGATAATAATAAATAATAAATTTTATTTATATCCCGCCCTCCCCAGCCGAAGCTGGGCTCAGGTCGGCTAACAACAATCAAAATAACCCAACGTTCTAAAAACATTTCATTATAAAAATTAATTAAAATCAAATTGGTAGCAACCATTAAGCAAAATTCTGTGCAATTGCCAGAGGAGGGGGTCAGGCTGCGCCCTGACCAAAGGCCTGGTGGAACAGCTCTGTCTTGCAGGCCCTGCGGAAAGATGTCAGGTCCCGCAGGGCCCTAGTCTCTTGTGACAGAGCGTTCCACCAGATTGGAGCTGCGGCCGAGAAAGCCCTGGCTCTAGTTGAGGCCAGCCTAACCTCTCTGTGGCCTGGGATCTTCAGGATGTTTTTATTTGCAGACCATAAGTTCCTCTGTGGGACATACCAGGAGAGGCGGTCCCGTAGGTACGAGGGTCCTAGGCCGTATAGGGCTTTAAAGGTTAAAACCAGCACCTTAAACCTGATCCTGTACTCCACCGGGAGCCAGTGCAGTTGGTATAGTACTGGATGAATGTGATCAAGCAGCGAAGACCCCATAAGGAGTCTCGCCGTGGCATTCTGCACCCGCTCGAGTTTCTGGGTCAGTCTCAAGGGCAGCCCCACGTAGAGCGAGTTACAATAATCCAGTCTGGAGGTGACCGTCACGTGGATCACAGTGGCTAGGTCAGGGCGAGAGAGATAAGGAGCCAACTGCTTAGCTTGGCGGAGATGAAAAAATGCCGCCTTTGTTATAGGTGTAATCTGCGCCTCCATAGAGAGGGAGGTATCGAAAATTACACCCAAACTCTTAACGGATGATGCTGGCACTAATTGCACCCCCGCAAGAGATGGGAGTTGCCCCCTCAATCCCATATCGTCCCGTCCCAGCCAGAGGACCTCTGTCTTCGAAGGATTTAACTTCAACCGGCTCCCACGTAACCATCCAGCCACAGCCTCCAGACATCTGGTCAGTGTGTCTGGGGCCGAGTCAGGATGGCCATCCATCAACAGACAGAGTTGGGTGTCATCGGCATACTGATGGCAACCCAGCCCAAAACTCCGGAGAAGCTGGGCGAGGGGGCGCATAAAGATGTTAAAAAGCATCGGGGAGAGAATCGCACCCTGAGGCACTCCACACACCCAGGAGTGGCACGATGACAATTCCCTCCCAAGCGCCACCCTCTGCCCCCGACCAGAGAGAAACGAGCACAGCCATTGAAGGACTGTGCCCTGGATCCCCACGTCGGCAAGGCGGTGGTCCAGGAGTTCGTGATCGACCATGTCGAAGGCTGCTGACAGGTCTGGAAGAATCAGCAGCCCCGACCCGCCTCGATCCAGCAGTCATCAGATCACTTCATATGTGAATCCAGAGGGCGAGTGGGAATCCAGCATTGTGCAACCCTGCCCTGATCCCTAAATTGACTTGTGGAGCTCAATTGCATTGTATCTGCTTTGGCACCATGCCCAGGTGGATGCATCTCCAATCCCTGCTCAGTGATACAGAGCTGAAAATATGAACTGACTTCACTGAAAGTGACATATAAACTGACATTGGATGACATTAAAAATCTACCTGTGGTGTTAGATCAGTGATGGCTAGCCCTTTCAGGTCTGTGATCAGGTCTGTGATCTGAAAGGACTAGTGGGGGAAAGAGATTTTGAATGGTCAAATGTTTAGTGGCAGGGGCGGGGACCGGGAATTCTGCTGCCTGGGAGTGTTTTTCTTTTTCTTTTTTTGGTAGGGAGTATTGTTCCACTGATATCAGACTGAGTATATACACTGTTATAATGCTGATACTATCATATTATGTTCAAGCATGTGTATCTGAATACAAGCCTATTCTGCCATTAATTATTAGTGGTCCCTTATTTCCATGCACCACAGCTGTGGCACAGATCCTTCTAAGTAGACCCCCATGAAACATATGACATTTCTGTATTTAGAATAGTAAGTGTCTCCTGTTCCAATTGGAAAAATCAAAGCTTCAGTAGTGATGTCATCAAAGGTTCTAATTTCCTGGTTGGAATATGAATTTGTCCTGCTCGTAATGCATTGCAAATCAAGCGTAATTTCTTCAAGAAATTATCTGGCCCAGAAAGTGTTACTGTACAGTCAGTGAGTTTTCAACTGCCCATCAAAATGCTTTGTAAGGCATCGTGGAACTGACTGGTCTTTGAGCACCGGCTCAAGGAATGCTGTTCAGGAAAGAACCTCAGCCCTGAGAGCAAGGGCATTGTGTAATCCCTGAGCTTGTCTGTTGAAGCTTAGGTAAACTCACATAGTCTAATAAGCGATCATATAAAGAGCAGCATTTGGACAAAAACATTGATTCATGTGATTATGGAATATCTTCAAATTTACTTCATAGGAAATACATTTATGCTGGAACTAAATGCAGTTTCTAAATGCAGTTTCTTAAGGAAATCAGCCCTGAGCGCTCACTGGAAGGACAGATCGTGAAGCTGAGGCTCCAATACTTTGGCCACCTCATGAGAAGAGAAGACTCCCTGGAAAAGACGCTGATGTTGGGAAAGATGGAGGGCACAAGGAGAAGGGGACGACAGAGGACGAGATGGTTGGACAGTGTTCTCGAAGCTACCAGCATGAGTTTGACTAAACTGCGGGAGGCAGTGGAAGACAGGAGTGCCTGGCGTGCTCTCGTCCATGGGGTCATGAAGAGTCGGACACGACTAAATGACTAAACAACAACAAATGCAGTTTGGATGAGTAAACCAATGGCAGCAAATGAAGTAGTTTGAGATTAGGCTGCTGCCACATGACCCGGAAAGCTGTCTGTGGACAAATGCCTGCTCTCTCGGCCTGAAAGCGAGATGAGCGCTGCACCCCCCCATAGCCGCTTTTGACTGGACTTAACCGTACAGGGGTCCTTTACCTTTTTTACCTAAGACTACTGCAAAGTGACAGAAGGCAAGTTGCATGAGTCAGATATTATGGATGAAGCTGATATCCCCCCCTCAATATCTCAGCATGAAAACACCAACTTAATTAGTGTGGGGCTCCAGATGTCAAGATGCCTTACTTTAAAAACTAATTGCCCAGACTACTATGAGAAGAAGGCTAGTTACAAGGGGCCAGCCCTTGGGGGATGTGTTCAAACTATTGGCAACCAAACTGGAGAGAAAAGAAGGAGCAACAGCCAAAAAGAATGGCTGCTTATCCATCACCTTCCCTAAAATTTGTCAAGTTCCATCAGTTATAATTCATCAAACAAATTGTGGGAATTATGGCAGCCCTGTAAATGGAGAAAAATCGTGCTGACAATTCCAAAGCTCAAAGAATATTCTGCATGAAATGTTGCCTTAGCATCTCTTTAGGCAGATATTTGCCCTGCTTCTCCTTGGATGCTGTTGTGTCTAGACTTCAGGATCTGGAAGTGCTGAAGCAGGATATATATAAGCCATGAAATTTGGACCGTGGCCTATCTGGATCTGGTCAGCATGAAATCTCTTGTGAACATCTGCAGTTCACCCTTCATGCAAATACATTGTCACAAGTGTTCCCCAGCCAAAGGAATCCACATGGCATATAGTTATCTTTTCATTCTCAAAAGCAGACACAGTAATTTCTATGGCTCTGAATACCCATGCAAACCAGTCAAGTGCCCAGGCAGCTACTGACTGGTCTGCACTCCAGGGAACAGCTGCAGCAACAGGGGACCATGCTCCCCCCACCAGTTTATGTATCTTCCCCTGCCAGGCTGCATGCACACAGCCAGAGACTATGCCTGCATGAAAGCTGTCTCTGCTCTTCCCTCTTCAATCCTCTCCTGGTTCTGGGATATAATGGTGCAGAAGAGGTTGGGGAAGCACCCGGCGCTCCACTTGCCTGACCTGCCTCTTTCTCCTCTTCCTCTCACCCCTCAAGTGCGCCACCCTCCAGCTCTGAAGCCTCCTGGCTGATTTAGGTCCTCACAAATCACTGCTCCCCTCTCCCAAGTCAGATTCCAGTCCCCCTTCCCCCAATGCACACTCATCAGAGTCCTGCATCTATGAAGATTTTGGCAGAAATCTCCTTATCGTTGAATGAGGGCATGGCTTAGGGAAGAGAATCCACAAGTTTCAAGAACAAGACCAAACAAGTCGGAAAATACTGATCATTTAAAATATTTGATCTATGAATCACATTAGGAATGGGGGAGAAAGTCAAAATAGGTCACATTCAAAGTTGGACCTACCTAATTTCCACTTTCCAAAACAATATGCAAACTGAAACATTTCATTTCTCCGATTATTTCAGTGCTGTTCTCCAGCTAGGGTGTAAAAAATATATATGCATAATTAGGATAAGATGTGCAGAAAAATAACACATAAAATGCATTATATTATAGTTGAAGTTTCTGAGTAGTTTTATTTTTACAAAAGGATAATGGATGATAATACAGAAGAATATGTAGTCTGAAAATAAGTCGGCTGTAGGAAAACGTCATGATAGCTACAGGGAATTGGTGAATAGCTACTTAGCACTTTGAAATTCTACATATAAATACATATAAATAAATTCAGTATCCCACTAACTCCTGTAATCACATTTATATGCCCTAATTTTACCTGTGTGGGGGTTACAGTTCAGTGGTAGAGCACATCTTTTGCATAAAGAAGGTCCCAGGATCAATTCTTGGCGATAAGAACCTGAGCTGGCAGGGTCTCTGTCTGAGCACCTTGAGAGCTGCTGCCAGTCAGAGCCTTGAGCTTAATAGACCAATAATCTGATTCACCTAAAACTGTCCAAATATGTTGGCGATTTCCAACCAACGTGGAAAATTGCTCTTTCTTATTTTAAGTAGAACTTTCAGAGCCTAGACTCCTTTGTCAGATACATGAGTCTGAAGTTGTGCGGCTAAC